CCAACCTCGTGGGCCCCCTGAAGCTCCTTCGATCTCAACTCCAACTCTATATATTTGCTTTCAGGAGAAAAAATCAGAGAGAAGAATTCATCGCGTTTTACGATACGGAGCCACCGCCAAGCCCTAAAACCTCTCGGGAGGGCTGATCTGGAGTCCGTTCGGGGCTCCAGAGAGGGGAATCTGTCGCCATCGTCATCATCAACCATCCTCCATCACCAATTTCATGATGCTCACCGCCATGCGTGAGTAATTCCATCGTAGGCTTGCTAGACGGTGATGAGTTGGATGATATCTATCATGTAATCGAGTTAGTTTTGTTAGGGTTTGATCCCTAGTATTCACTATGTTCTGAGATTGATGTTGCTATGACTTTGCTATGCTTAATGCTTGTCACTAGGGCCCGAGTGCCATGATTTCAGATCTGAACCTATTATGTTTTCATCAATATATGAGAGTTCTTGATCCTATATTGCAAGTCTATAGTCACCTATTATGTGTTATGATCCGTTAACCCTGAAGTGACAATAATCGGGATACTTACCGGTGATGACCGTAGTTTGAGGAGTTCATGTATTCACTATGTGTTAATGCTTTGGTCTGGTACTCTATTAAAAGGAGGCCTTAATATCCCTTAGTTTCCGTTAGGACCCCGCTGCCACGGGAGGGTAGGACAAAAGATGCCATGCAAGTTCTTTTCCATAAGCATGTATGACTATATTCGGAATACATGCCTACATTACATTGATGAACTGGAGCTAGTTCTGTGTTACCCTATGTTATGATTGTTACATGATGAACCGCATCCGGCATAATTCTCCATCGCCGATCCATTGCCTACGAGCTTTCCATATATTGTTTTTCGCTTATTTACTTTTCCGTTGCTATTGTTACAATCACTACAAAATACCAAAAACATTACTTTTGCTACCGTTACCTTTTGCTACCGTTACCGCTACTATCATATTACTTTGCTACTAAACACTTTGCTGCAGATATTAAGTTTCCAGGTGTGGTTGAATTGACAACTCAGCTGCTAATACTTGAGAATATTCTTTGGCTCCCCTTGTGTTGAATCAATAAATTTGGGTTGAATACTCTACCCTCGAAAACTGTTGCGATCCCCTATACTTGTGGGCTATCACCAACGTCCAGTAAATGGCGGGTTTTGGCCTTGCTCCTGGTCAGCATCGTCGTCCATACCGTCGATGTCTTCGGAGCCGTAATCTGCACGTCGGTTAAGTCATCGACAGTGGCTATGAAGTGGGTGGCGGGTGGGAAACGAAATTTCCCATCATCAGCCTCTGTCTCAAAACGAACATAGTTCGACTGTGAGTCCTTCTCCAGGGATAAGTTCTTTAAAGAGTTTAGCACATCACCCAAAGATGAGTGTTGGAAGATGTCTGCGGCGCTAAATTCGAAAATCGATAACCGATCCAGCTCGGTGTCCGCAGGTGTACCCGGTCCGGGACTTATAGACGGAGACGAATCCGGAGTTCCATTGACGCAAATATTGCGGGGTGCTGATTCCGTGTGCGGCTCCAACACCGCGGAATCTATGGCGGATGGCACGATCTGCTCCGGTTCTAAGGCCGTTGTAGCAACAGGGACCATCTCTTGGATGTGATCCGATGACAGATTTAAGTCATGTTCATCGGGGCGAGGGGGAGCGATCGCTGCGGTCTCAAATCCATTGAAGATCAAGTCTCCACGGATATCTGTGACGTAGTTCAAGCTTCCAAATCTGACCTGGTGGCCAAGGGCATAGCTATCGATCTGCTCCAGATGGCCAAGCGAGTTGGCCCGTAATACGAAGCCGCCGAACACGAAAATCTGTCCGGGGATGAAGGTTTCTCCTTGGACAGCGTCGCTATAGACGATTGACGGGGCCATCGAACCTTTCATCGACGGCACAGTGGAACTCTCAATGAAAGCACCAATGTCGGTGTCAAAACCGGCGAATCTCGGGTAGGGGGTCCCGAACTATGCGTCTAGGATCGATGGTAACAGGAGACGGGGGACATGATGTTTACCCAAGTTCGGGCCCTCTCTATGGAGGTAATACCCTATGTCCTGCTTGATTGATCTTGATGAATATGAGTGTTACAAGAGTTGATCTACCACGAGATCGTAATTGGTAAACCCTAAAAGCCTAGCATGTATGACTATGGTAATGAGTATATCCTTTCCGGACTAACCCCTCCGGTTTATATAGACACCGGGGGGTCTAGGGTTTACATAGAGTCGGTTACATAAGAAGGAATCTTCATAATCGGTTGTCAAGCTTGCCTTCCACGCCAAGGAGAGTCCAATTCGGACACAGGTACAGTCTTCGGCCTTCATGTCTTCACAGCCCATCAGTTTGGCCCATGGATAACAGGTCGGACGCCCGAGGACCCCTTTGTCCAGGACTCCCTCAGGGGGTGCACACGCCGACCCAAATGGACAAAAACGAAGAAGACGCGTGTCCGTTGGGTCGGCACATTGGAGTTTCTCTTCCATCACATGTTCAAATTTTGAAGTACATTAAATCACTGCATGGAAGGATCAAGAGAGAACACATCAATGCAGTAAAAGTTTTTGGTCATTTAGTGGTCATGCATGCATGCGTTATAATTAATGCATCAACAAAAAAACCACTCCCTCTGTCCCATAATATAAGAATATTTTTCAAGCTAACAAGCTTGCAAAAACATTCTTATATTATGAGATAGAGGAAGCATTTGACAAAAAATGAGCGTGCTAGTCAAGTACTTTTGTAAACTACAAAATGTATTCCAGCACTAACCATCTACCTTGGTTGGAGAGCTTTTCATAGTGGAAAGTAACGTAGGCTAATACTCCCTTTAATTTTCTAAATGGCCTTATATTATTTTACAGAGGAAGTAACATGCATATGTTACTAGTATATGTTGCTACTTTTAGAGTGAGAAGTAACATATGTGTTGTTACGTTCCTTTCTCCCCTCCGCCAGATCCAATCTCTCCCCTCCACTGGCCCCCCACGCGGGCGGACAAGGGGCCCCAACCTTTGCCGTCGGTCACTCCCTATCCCATCCTTCCCCTCCACCGCCGCTGGAAGAAGACGTCGGGCTAAGCCCGGGCGGCTGACGGCGATGGCGGAGGAGCCTCTCCTTCTCGCGTGCGAGGGTGGCGCGGGGCATCCGGGCGAGCGGAAGTGCGCCCCCAGATCTGAGCCTCCGCGACGGTGGCTCGCTCCTGGCGGCGAGCGGTGGCGGATGACTAGTGGTGGAGCTGTTGCATCTGGCCGCGGCGCTACGGCACCATGGATCGGCGGAGGCGTGGAGGGCTTTGGTGGGCTGGTCAGCTACGGGTGTGGTTGGCTTTCCGACCAGATCTGATCTAGCCAGATTGGCTTGCTCGCTCCGCGGCAGCGGAGATCGGTGGTGGTCCTTGCGCACGATGCGAGGCGGGGGTTTGTCGAGCGGAGCCGGGTGAAAACCTTGTTCTTGGCTTGTTGCCAAGACCGGCGATGGCGGCACTCTTTTGTGACGTTACCTTCTTGAAGGGGTCACCGTAGAGAAGCTCAAGACCTCTATCCGCTACCTCCGGGGGAAACTCTAGATCAGTAGATCGAATGACGGCGGCGCTCTGGTGTTGTTTCCCCCTTGGGGGCAACATTCTTGGAGGTGTGCACAGGCTCGAGGGACTAGTGGACGGCTTCGTTGGTGGAGCGGTGCTTCATCTTACTCATTGATGGCCACAGATCTCGGCGGCGTGGCGCAATGGAGACTCGGCGCCCGATGCGTAGAGATGGACTCGCGCAAGAGGAGGACGATGTCTGGCGTCATGGTGTCGTCGATGGCAGAGAGGTCTGGCAAGATCGGTGTGTTAGTTTATGTTCTGAAGATGGATTGGTGGAAGACGGTGGCGACAACACAATGAGAGTGCGTCGGACCGGTTTGTACCCCAAACCCAGTATGTGGCTCGGTTGGGGCCTCCGGCTCTAGATGTTAGGCTTTGGTGAGATATTTGTTTGGTATTAGGCTCGGACTATCGTCACCCCTTCATCAAGTGGTTAGGAGTAGCGACAGTTGCTGCTAAGATGGTGGCTTCAGACAAACTGTTGTACTACTTAATAAGATCTTTGTGAATAATTAATAAAATGGTTGCATGCATCATCTACACTACTTAATAAGATATTTGTGAATAATTAATAAAATGGTTGCATGCATCATCTAGATGTAGAGGCCGGGGCAATCCTCTTTTTTTAAGAAAAAACATATGTATTGCTATGTCATGTAAGTCTTCATTTATTTAGATGTAGACTTATTTTGCTTTGGGGTACGTTATGTTACGTAACATATGTTACTTACTAGAAACACCTCTTTTCTCATTAACTATTTGCCATAAGCATACTTGTTTTGAGATGTGTTATGTTACTAACTAAGTTACCCCACTATGATCAGCCTGAACCTGAAAGTAGGGAGTAATTTACACAAAACTGCAAGATTAGCAGTATTTTATCAAACCTTGCAATTGCTAGTTCAACAACTCGGGTAAAATAATATCAAGTAGGAGTATATGCGTTTCAAAGAATCTTCACAATGGCAGTGAAAACCCCAAAGACATCTAAGCCATTTTGGTTGGTTCCAAATTTATCTTAATTTCGTAAGACAATCAGGAAATCAGGCAAGATATGGATCACATTTGGTTTTTGCCACCGTCGTAACCATTGCAAAAGTAGAGCAAAGAAGGCTGCTTTACATGTGAAATAACACCGGAATTTGTACCCAGCTTGAATTGGTAAATTAATGTGACCACAGTGATGATGATGATGATGGAACAAGGGAGATGGTGCATAAAACCAAGCAGGTTTTTCACCCACTCACACCTGTTACTGTAGCTTTGTTTTAAACTATGGTGTTCTTCCTGGCGAAAGGAAAGCAAAGCAAAGGAGGATTTACAAATGACGCTTGCATGGGGGCTACCAAGGATCAAGCTATCATCGCTTGCATGGGGCTACCAAGGATCAAGCCATCATCATTTGCTGCGGCTACCGTTGCACTGGTGAACGAAACCGTTGCCGTTGGCACTGCCGTTCATGTGAGTCCCATTGCTGCTACTGCTGCTGCCTATGTCCTTCCGCTTTGTGCTGGCCTTCTTCACCCCCCATATATGTATTGTGTGATCATCACTCGCAGAAGCGAGCATATGTGGATTTGTAGGGTTCCAGCTTACACAGTTGACCGCGCCGGAGTGACCAGAAAGAGTCTCGATAACATCTTCCGTAGCTCTGTGCCATATATAGACCTGGCAGATAAAATATCACCACACTGAGTTGTCAAATCAAACAAACCACTGGATAGTTGTTTTCCATGAAACTTCAAAGACCTGACTAAAATTTCTTTCACCGAAACATTATGTGCCAGATTGGTAAACATGCATTTCCATATATTGGTGTTCTACTATGCTGGCTTATAGAATCCAGCTCTTGGCTATATTACACTGGATTATTTTCTCCAGCCCCATTTTATAGCTACCTATCAGGTGTAAGGAACCATGGATCATGGATGTCATTACTAGGTGACTTCATGTCATCCACGGAAGTACCAATCCATCTGTAAGTTTCGTCTGGCTCACAAGAAACAAATGATCCCAAGATTCAAGTGATAAATTAGTAATGTATCCCAATTAAACATTAACTTTATCCACCATGTAATGCACATCATTGGACATGTCATAAAAGCAGTAACTAATATGTCACATACCAAATATTCTGAACAAAAGCTGGCGGAAAATACCTAGATCAAGAATCAATGTGCATGCAATCAAATCTGGGGAATAGACGTAGATTTTAAGTATCATTTACAGTTTCTCAACATAAGAAATATCATGGATGTTGTACATATTTTGTCATGTTTTGTTACATGAAGTAGAATACTGCAGCGAGCTGACAGCTGTTCCAATATAGGTCTCTAGGTTATCCAGTAAATTTGACTTGCAGGACAGAAAATATAATTCTGCTACACGGCCAAGAACAACAGTTTCCAGAACTCAGATATTATCTGCAATTAAAAATCTATAGAACAGGTGACAAGGAGAGCATAACTTAAGTGCATCTGCAGTCAATACATCATACATTCATACCTTTGAATCTTCACTCCCACTGGCAATAAAGGCCTGATCCGATCCACCAAAGCACGATCTTATAACAAACCGGCTGCGTTTATGGCCAATGTACTGTTTCACTCTACTGGGGTCATTCCTTATGTTCCACAAATGGATCTTCTCACTTATAAGATTTACAAGCAAGAAATCTCCATCATCAGAAAGAGAAAATGAAGTGATTGTATTATCCTCTTCAATCAGCCTCTCCTGTTTTGTGTCCCTATTGAATAAAAGAATTGTGGAATCTCTGTTCATAATTATTATAACTTTGCCATCTTTTGTTACAGAAAAATCAGATATTTTTGATGACCGCTGCCCTTTCCAGCAATCTGCCTCTTTACCATCTAAATCCCACAAGCAAAGGCTTTGATCAGATAGACCACACAATATTTGCTTTCCGTCTGGAAACCAGCCACATGACGTCAAACCAAGGCCAGGCTTTTCGTAGACATGAATACATTCACCAGATTCAATATTCCAACGCCGGATGGCTTCTTCCATTCCACATGTAAGAAGCTGGCTATCATCAGGACTCCATGCAACCATCATCACTGGTTTCTCATGACCAGTCAATCTGTGCTTCAGCAATAGTTCTACATCTTCATCGACCTAGGAAAAATACCCACATTACTGCAAGCAAGCAGAAGATTGATTTGTGTTGCATCAACTATCAAGATGGCAGTGAAAATGTAAATTTCACCATCATTATCAGTACGTACATGCGCATGCACATCCTGAGGTACATACTAGAATGCAATAAAATTCCTGGAACAAATGATGAAGATGAAACTGAAAATTAGGTTCATGTGCATCGAGATTGTTCATGTGCATCGGAATCTCGATGGGATTGAAGTTCTGAGATTGAGATGCTGGGAAGTTTTTCTAGAACTAAGTTTTGATAGTTCCAAACAAGGACCACATTATGTCCTCATCAACCACCACAAAAATAAAATCAGAACACCTTCAAGGTAGGCTAATCGCACCACCAATGCATAAATGCCAAGCTATATGGTCTATAGTGTCAGGCCACAAGATCATGTAGCAAACCAAACAAACATATTAATCAAACTTGCAGCTAAGGCCAACAAGGCTCAAATTAGATAGACTCACTCCGACAAATTAATGATGTAAAATATCTACCCTATCAATTTGCATTTGAACAAATAAAGGAAATACTCAAGATCTCAAATTTTCGGACAGAAACAACCAGCAGGTGACCAAAAAAGAGTGAATGTGGTTGTGCAGAAAGTTTTCACATAAGGCACTAGCTAAATGGGAAAGTAAGGGGCAAGACACTGCACTGCTGAACACCTTCATGAAGAAGGTCAAAAGTCAGAAGCATAGTTACCTTCCATATAATTGCAGATTTATCATTTGATGATGAGGCTAAATATTTCCCATTGTTTGAGAATTGAAGAAACCATACTTCGTCACCGTGTTCACGCAGAACCTGCGATAATATTTTTTATTTGCTTGTGGCTTAGTACAGGTGATAAGATATGTGGATAGCAGTGTCTGATTGTGCATCGAGAAATATTGTATTGCTTAGTTTCAATTATTACATTTAGGCATTAACTATTTTATACCAGGAATGAGAAGCACATCCTACTTGTCAAGGAGAGCCAGATCTCAGTTGCTTTCATGAACATTTAAATAGCACTCAACTCACATCTATCTTCTTCTCATACAAAAATATTTCCTCTACATTAACCTGAATCTGATGTATTCTCTTTCCAACCTAAATATATATTGCAAAATATTCAACACAGCAAGAGGGAGGTGGGAAGGGAGGGGAGGGGCGAGGATAGAGGATGCTTAAGTTATACTTTATGACAACTGGATCACACATTATACAGAGAGAGAAAACAGAATTTATCCAAGACTTGTTATGAAATAATCTACAAGTGATGTATAAAAACTGTACAGAAATAGTCAAACGAAGAGCAAGAACACCAAACCGACCAGTACTGCTTATTTTTGGATTCTTAAGCAATGCAGGCAACTGTTAAGCACAACCTTGATTTCAAACATGGTATTTAAATATTTAAACATGCAACAAATGCAACCACTGACATCAGCATGAGTTCATACCTGCAGTGTTCGAGATGGTATCTGATCCCTCCCACAGTGATGATCAACATAAAGTGACAAGCCATCAATAGAATTATGGAGATAACAAGCTTCACGTTGTACAGTAAGCGCCTGTTCAACTATATTCTCTAACCTCCTCTCTGGTACCATAACAGCAGGTGGGAGCACCTTTTGCAATTCCTCTAGGAGCTTAAGGCGTGAGTCAGAAGCTTCGGTTCCAAGCTTTGGAAACGCAAGCAAGAAGTTCTGCGGAGAAGAAATTATGCAACTTGACATTTCATGAACTCGTTTTCTGTTAACACCAAGGGGGGAGATTTCATTTTGCAACGTCTTTATGGCACCCATTAAGTTGTCATTTCTCAAAAGGTCAAAGAATTTCTGCTCCAATAACAAAAATGCAGCAGACTTCACAATGTTTTCATCCAGAAGGCCAAGTTTATTCAAGGTAGCTACTGCATTGTCCCAATTACCATCAAGCACCTGCTTTCTGAATAGATTCACCGATGGAGAATGCAATGTAATACCTGATTCTTCCTCAAGAACAGCTCCACTTTTTTCATATCCAAGAGTATACAGAGCTTTTGTGATTATCCTCACAAATTCGTCCCTCTTAATAACACCTTTAGAACCAACCATAACTTCTTTCCCCTGGGAAGCCAAAGGTCTAGCCATTGTACCTCCCAAAGGGTTAATGGATTTCGAATAACAGAAACTTTCTGGTAAATTTGCTGACTCTACTGAGGATGCTCTTGCGCGTTTTGAGGGTGGTTCATCATCTTCAAAACCTCCCATGAAATGCCAAAGTCAGCCCATATATTGTTTTACTATTGCAGATACAATGTTCCGCAGGCTGCAGAAAATGCCGTCAAAAATTCCGTAGGTTGCTGCAGATAAATAACATGAAAAAGTCATTATCAAATGCAGCCAATAACCTGGTCTTATCTCGATCATTTTACAACTAACAATACATGCCCATCATAATAGCAAGAAATAGGAATGGTGCACATAAAGCAAGGAAAATACTGCGGAGAAACACAATGTACCTTTTGATTGAATCTACAATACAAGCTACCTATCCATGTAACGCACATATGAGCAAATGTGAATTGGAATACACGGCAGTAAATCTCAGAGACGCAAGGCACAGGTTGAAGCGCTCCCTATTATTTTTAAATGTGCAGGTTAGCTTGAACATTATGCACACCGAACAAAAATAGCCCCATCACACTTGAGCCTGTTTATTAATTATCATGTAGCATCAGAAAGAGAGATAAAATATGTATCTTTGAGTGACAAAACAGAAGCCTATGCTGATTAATCCTCATTTATAATAAGCTAATAGGACTATAGTCCCAACTCCCAATTCAAGCTTGTACTACCAGATATCTTTCCTGCCATCATATAAGAAACAAAGTAAAGTCAGGTTGGACCAGCATATCCAAAGATAAGTCATAACAGCACAAGCTTGTGGCAAGCTACCATGGACTCAGAAAGAATTACATAATGTGGCTCATCTGTTGTCATAGTTGCATCACTTCTTTCTTTCCTTTTGTGGAGCAACGGGTAAATAATAAGCCATGAAATAGATTGGTACACAGTAAGACCCTGATAGCAGTGATGCTTTATTGCCGTGAATGGCATGTGAGCTCCACATTGGAACCTTACCCTTATTGGCAACTTTTCAGTACTTAACCCTGACTTGCTGATAGTGCACAACTCGCATCAGTCCACTAAAGCTAACACTGAGAAGTGGCAAATGACCTCCATTTACAAACAAAAGCATGATGTCCATGAAATGCTCAGGCGAATTACTAGGAACAACCGACGGGTGACCACAGGGGTAATCAAACGCAGTAAGTAGGATCCAATTATGCAATCTGCATACAATCACTGTTGATTATAAGCTGCTCCAGGAAGCGCCCTAAATCACAGGAGTCCTGCCCAACCGCGTGCCCTTAGCGATCTAACCAATCCACGTGATATATATATAAAGAAACTAAAGCAAGTGGCGCAGCGACGGGGACCGGTCATCTAAGGATCTGTTCTAGGGAGAGTTCATCGTCGTTCCTACTCGCGCCGCCGGAGGAGCCCCCTCCCCCAAACCCACACCTGCACGTCGGGGACCAATAGGCGACGCAGAGAGCAGGGATTAGCGATCGGAAGGGTCCTGACCTCGGATCCACGCTGATTCGCGCGAGGAACACCCGAATCCGCGCCGAGACGTTGGGGAATCGCCTGCGGGGGGCAGGAGGTGGATGGATGGGCGGATTGGGTAGGGAGGGGGGGCAAGCGCAGAGAGAGGGAGAGAGAGAGAGAGAGAGAGACGGGAAAGGAAGAGATTGGTGTCTTGGCTTGGGAGAGAGGGGAACCGACTGATTGAAAGGAAAAGGGAGGAGAGGTTGGAGAGAGAGAGAGATTAACCATTTCATTCACTCAAGCAATTGCACTTTGTTAAGTTTTTTTTTTCAAGGAAAGTCATCTTGGCACTTCATTGCAAAGTTAACAAAGTCATCATCCCACTAGCACATCGATTTTGAAGCATATATATGCCTAGCTAGAAAATGTGCCAAGTCATTAGCTTTCAATCGAATCGACGAGATATCATGAGCTTGTTGAAAACAATATGTCGGACTTGCTGAATAGGAGGGCAGAACATCAGACGCACCATTGCACGCATAAATGATCTCAAGACAGCCTATTCTACAATGTTTGTTTATCAACTGAAGGACTTGGTGAAGCGACATAGATTTCACCGTCGCTGCGTTAGAAACATAGTCAAATAACTTGGCAACTTATGCCATAGCTTTGCCTTCGACAATTGTGAACAATAGTAATTAACTGACTTGTGTCATTCTTAAAGAATGCACCTATGTTCAGCTTGTACATACCTAGTGGTGGCTTCTTCCATCTAACTTTGTTTGTCTGTTTCTGGAAAGTTGTAGGATTAAAAGTAGGTCTAGAGGGGGATGATTAGACTACTTGACCAAATAAAACCTAATATTTTCCAGTTTTAGTTATAGGCAAGTCTTAGCAATTCTACCAAGTCAAGCAGCACCCTACACATGCAAGTATAAGAGTTGTGCAGTGGAAAGTAAAAACTTTGCATATGAATGTAGAGGGGATCGAAGATATCAAACACAATGAGGACATGATGTTTTTTATGTGGTTTCAATAGGTGGTGCTATCGTACATCCATGTTGATGGAGACTTCAACCCATGAAGGATAACGGTTGCGCGAGTCCACGGAGGGCTCCACGCACGAAGGGTCCACGAAAAAGCAACCTTGTCTATTCCAGCATGGCTAACGCCCACGAAGGACTAGCCTCCCTCGGGGTAGATCTTCATGAAGTAGGTGATCTCCTTGCCCTTAAAAACTCCTTGGTTCAACTCCACGTGATCTTGGAAGCTCCCAAGTGACACCTAACCAATCTAGGAAACACCACTCTCCAAAAGGTAATAGATGTCTCTTCTTTACTTGTCTTGTGGCCAGGGTAGTATGACGATCTATTGGAGTGGTTTTAGGCACTGACAAATGTCCGAAGAACTACTGGCAATATTTCATTTGGTGTCATAAGTTTCTTCCTGGGAAGAAAACATTCTATACAATAGGCTTGGCAGCCACTTGTTGGGCCATCTGGTTGGCGCGTAATCGAGCTACTTTTGAAAAGAAACAAATCAAGACTCCTTTGAGATTGTGTTTTCTCTATGCTCTTTTCTGCTTTATTGGACAGGCTTGCAACAAGGGGACGCCGCCAGGGAGCTTCGAACAGGAGCAGAGATGATCAGGGCTAGTACGATGCAGTTGATGAAGATGTGTGACGCTACCAAACAACTGATCTAAGGTGTCTGAGGCTTTCGGGGCGTTTTCGGTGAAGATGACTGCCACAACAAAGTGTCTACCTCCTTTTGCTTCTGCCCCCGGAGGAGGTGACTCTCTTCGGCTTTCAAAAGACTGTACATGTTCTAGTTTGATCTTCTGAGAAATGTATTAGGCTAGTCCTTATTATGTGCTACTCAGGTTTTCGCCCCATAGCACCCGTTTCGATGGCGAGCGGGTGTGGTGGGTTTCCTGGTAGTGCTGGAACTCGCTCTACCTCTTTCCCTTCTCCTGACTCTTCTGTTAGAACTGGTTGTATTTTCGTCCTTTGCAATGGAAAGGGGTAAAGCCCGGTTCTAAAAAAAGGTAATAGATGTTGTTGTTAATGATGAACTCCTTGCCCTTGTGCTTTAAAAGATAGTCTCCTTGACACTCAATCACTCTCTCACGGATTTGGATTGGGGCAGGAGAAGGATTAGAGTGAAAAGCAACTTGGGGAGGCTAGAGATCAAGGTTCAAATGTCGGATTGGAATCCCTCGATCTCAACACAAGTGTAGGTGGTTCTCTCTCAGAAAATGGATATGGGAAGTGTAGTTTTGTCCTGGTTGCTCTCTTTGTGAGTGAGTGGTGGTGGAGGGGTATATATAGCCATCACCAAAGATCTAGTCGTTACAAATTTTATGCATAACTCGATGACACCGAAATTAAATCTCAGTGGGATCGAACAGTGTAAAAGATTTGAACATTAGACATTTCGGTGAGACCGGATGAATCCACTCGGTGAGACCATATGTGATGACCTAAGAAGATTCCTCATCTCGATAATTCCGATCGTTTCAACTTGGTAGTTCCAAAGTGAAAGCAATGGGTTACAGAAACTTGGTCACTACACTTTGGTGGGACAAAATGTCATCTCAATAGAACTGAGTTTCTAGGGTTTGGCTTATGGCTCTGTCTAATGTATCCCGGTGGGTCCGGATGGATAGGTTTCAGTGGGACCGAGATTGAACTTAGGGTATTGGACAGATTGGATATGGAGAAAGTGGTTGAGGGTTTTGAAGCAATATCTTCAAGCACTTGAGAAAATTATCATGACCAAAACCTTATCCCCTTTTAATAGTATTTGCTTTCCTATGGACTCAATGTGACCTTTGATCACTCAACCAAGAATTTAGAGTCTTGAAGCTTTTGCCAATGTATGTCCTTAGCATTTTGAGGGGTCCACAATCATATGTCCTTGCCAAGCCAACATTGACTTTCCTGAAATTATCTTTGAGTAGGCATTAGTTCAATGACATATATGTTGTTATTAATTACCAAAACCACCCGAGGATTAGATGCACTTTCAATCTCCCCCTTTTTGGTAATTGACGACAACATATAGATCAAAACTTCGACATTGGATATAATCAATGAATAACATCGTCGCTTTGAGAAGTGTGTGATAACCAAGAGACCCCCCTAGATTTGTGCATTATTTAGAATTTGCGTTTGAATGCAAATGCACAATCGATTAGGATCATGGGTCACTCTTACATGCCACATACAACTTGGTGGAGCGCACAAAATGATATAAATGAAATACATTGATATGTCTTCAACGTATCTATACTTTTTTATTGTTCCATCCTATTATAGTATCAATCTTGGATGTTTTATATGCAATTATATGTCACTGTATATCATTTTTTGGGACTAACCTATTAACTTAGTGCCAAGTGTTGTTTTTTGCTTGTTTTTGGTTTTCCGGGAAATCAGTACCAAATGAAGTTCAAATGCCATGAAATTTTTTGATGATTTTTTTCTGAACATAAGAGACCCTAGAAGCTCTGGGAGGAATTCAGAAGGTGAAGGAGGTGGCCACAAGCCACCAGGGAGCTGCTTGGTTCCTTATGGACCCACATTTGCTCCGTTTGACCTAATTCTGACTCTATAAATTCTCTAAAATCGGGAAACCAACAAAGAGCCACCCAA